CTCTCTTCCTCTCTGATAATTATTTCCACGTTTCTCTTTTGTTTTCCTTTTTTTTTTTTTTGGGGAGGGGGGGGGGGGGGACAAAAGTAATGACAAGCGACGATTACGATTCTCAGATTATCGTGGTGGTCATTGGAGTAATCTGCATGGTGATGGTTTTCGTCGTGGATCGTTTAGGCGATATTTTCCGTGCTTCTCTGGTTCTTCACGGCATCACGGCTGGCGCGATGCTGGGTATTTTCACTCTGGGAATGTTGGTACCATGGGCGACGTCGAAAGGTGTCATCGTGGGTGGCATAACTTCCATGTTATTCATGATTTGGCTTATAGTCGGTGCTCAAGTGAACATGGTTCAGAAACGATTAGTTTATCCACCGCTTCCTATGTCGACGGAGAACTGTTTGAATCACACGGTATTTAATCAAACGACAACGCACACGGATGATATCCCAGCAGACGGAGAGGAGAAACCGTTTGTACTGTTCACGATATCGTTCATGTATTACTCTCTGTGCGGTTTCTTGATATCGATGGTGATTGGGACGGCAGTCAGTTTTATGACTGGCGCTAACGATCTAAGAGAGGTGGAGAGGAATCATTTTCCACCGTTCGTTCAGAGGTACGCAAGCATCATAACATTTGTGTCGTCTCGTTCGAGCGAATCTTTTTGCTCGTTCGATTTCGAACGTCATATTTTTGAAAGCTTATCCTTCGTTCTGTTTTATGCAGAAGTGGTGTAGAAGTTATAATTTTTTTATAATTAATTGCACTTTTTTTCGGAACTTTTACCTTTTTATCTAGAAGTTAACTTTACCTTATTATCTAGAAGTTAGTTTTCTTGATTTGCTTCATTTTTATGTTAAACGACTCGCGTTATTATCTGATTATGTGCGTAGAGTTTTTCTAATCAACCAAAAAGAGAGCGATCCTATATGAAAAAGAAAAGGATAAATCCAAACGAGAGAATAAATAATTTTACTTTTGTTTTTCGGTTTGTCTGACTTCATGTAGAGATTACTCGTTTTCATAACGAAACTATTTATTTGTTCTAGATTTTTGCCACCAAAGAAATACACCGAGGTTCCAATGCACGCGATCCCCACCGCGCTGGTGGTGAACCCGGAGAAAGAGAAGCTCAATTTATAAAAACGGACATCACAGGCATACGTGAAGTCCAACTATTTCGCTAGTGCGATAATGTATGTGTGTCAGAACGCGAGGAACAGTTTTTAATAAAATTAAGAAACGTTAAAGACAAATGAATCCTCCGAGCGATAAGCGATCGAGGGATAAGTCCGTTCGACCATTTGCCACGAGAAAGCTCCACATAACTAGTCCCCGTCCCTGGGTTGAAAGCAGCCATTAGGCCCCCGATGAGGGTGTCAAATTGACTAGATTATATATCTGTGCCACGCATCTCGATACGCAAACAACTCGTTTAAACATCTGGAGGAACGGATGCCTATCGGATTAGGACCGATGGAAACGCGAAGGGTGTTTTTCGTCCAGTCATTCATTCGTCGAGTCGCTCTTGAAAATCCGCGAAGGATCGAGTCGCGCGCCGTCATTCAAATTTACTTAGAGGAAGAAACTCAGAAGAGACATCGTCCGAAATTTCGAAAGAGCAGTGATTTCAGAGAAAGAGAGAAAGAGAGAGAGAGAGGGGGGGATCGTAATTTCACCCAACACGATATTTTCGTGTCGCGCTTTGTCGTTCTTCGAACAAGTTGGCGGGACGCAGTTTGAAAAATTGCGCGCGATTTATTATTTTGTTCACGCTCGTACGACAGAGAAGACATTACCAGCGGCTGCGAGGAGAATCAATAGCGAAGATATATTAAAATCGTAACAAAAGACGAGCGTAACAACGCTTTGATATTTCGGTCACGGTTCACCGAACTCGGATGCGTGGCTAACGCAGCTTTCTAAGCTATCGCGTTATTACGAAACGTTAACCCCTTTGTATGCGAGATTTGTTTTACAACTTTCACGCAGTTGGAAGTTTACTTTAGTACTCCTTCCTCTTTTTTTTTTTTTTTTTTCTTATTCGCAGCGATTCAATTCTTCCGTGCAACTGCGTGCACGAGGCGTGGAGGAATAAAAATCGTGCGGTAAAGATTCCCGAGGTGAAAGTCGACCGAGGTGAAGGAAGTAACCCTTATCAAAGATTCGAGATATTATCCTCGAGGCTTTCAGGAGAGAACTCACGGTCGGCGACAGAGAGGAGATTCCTGGAGAAGAAGGCTCGCAAGGGACGTTACACGGCTGACGTAGAAACGGCACTTCTCTGTCTCGAACCGGAGACCACATTCCACCGAACCATTTTATTTTATTGGACTGAAAGGTGTCAAATATAGGTGGCAAAGGCCCTCCTACTTACATTCCTGCCGCTACCTTCCTACCGTCCCTCTTCACCGCCGGTCTGATTTCATCGTGTAGGTAAAACCTTGGAAGGGAGAGCCCATTGTGGCCGGGTGACAGTTTTCTGACAGATTCCGTCTGATTTGGTGTCGAGTGACAGAGGCACGATCTCGCTGCATTCACACGATTAACTAGCCTCCCTACCATCGCCGACTCTTAACCACTAGAAGTTATTATTCAATCACTCTGATTGTCATTTCGTAGAGAAAATGTGATGCATCGGGAAAATTGTAACGTTCCGATAAGAAGAAGTAGAATCTCGTTGGTGCTCTGCGCGAAGGTTAGAATAGTTCCACGGAAAGATCAGTGAAAAAAAAAGGAGAAAAAAATTGAAAAGGCAGAAGTCGACGAGAGAAGAGAGAGAGAGAGAGAAAGGGGGAAAAGGCTATCAAAGAAGAAGCATGTGTACGAAGGCTATACATATAGGAGGCCAAGGTTTGGCTTAGATCCTCTAATCTCTCCTTCTTCCTCGCTCTTTCACCGTGTCTCGTCGAGTGTAACTGTATAACGGGGTTCCCCGGTTTTTGTGAGGTCATGGGTATACGTGCAAAAGCGCATAAAAGCTGAGGGGGCGCGCACGGTGTGGGATACGGCTTATTTCGGCGACAATGCGTAGGGCCAGGCGCGAGCATAAAGGAGCATAATGCACCCTGCTAACGTGAAAATTATTCTGTCAAACATTCGGACGTCGGATTACGGGCGGCATAACCTCGTGGTGTCCTGGCCAGGACACGCTTTTTTTTTTTCAGAAAAGACACGGCCAATAGGCTGGCCGTGCAGATGCCGAAAGGATTTCTCGGTCAACGAGACGACGATCGTTGATTTACGCGTCAACTCTCTCTCGCCGTATAGCAAATGGGAGGTCGCCGAGAGGGGAAAACGACGAAATTTATAGATCCATAAAATCCTAATATTACGCGCTATTTAGGAGAGAGGGTTATGTTAACTCGATGATATAATTCCCAATCGCGTGCAACGGTATCTCCCCGAGGCATTATTGTTTCTTCCAACGATTCCGCTACCGAACCGCTGGCGTCGTCTCGCGTATTTTATATCGCAGAGATCCTGAACGCGTACACGTGGTACGAGGAATTAAGGATCCTCCGTTCAAGGATCAACGATCTTATATATTCGAGACATTTGCTATTTTTATATCGCATCGTCCCGGCTCTGAAGGCGAGATTCTTGCAACACGATTCCACTCGTGTGCATCAGAGATTTTGTCGATTGGACCACCTCCCTGTTTTTCCTACACGCAATTTTCAAACGTTGCGCACGCGTCTGCACGCGCATGTGTCTAACGCAAGCGATGCGGTTTTCAAACGTCTCTTTTGCATTAAAATTGTTTCAAATATATACCGCAATATGTATATATATATAATATAAATAATCAAATCAAATGTATAACATATAAATCAAATATATAATACAAGTTTAACCTGACAATTCGTAAAGCAGTGAAAAACAATGGATACAATCTACATTTTTTAGTGGAGGCAATGCCCGAAAATCACAGGTGAACAAATAGCTACAATTAATAACCTTCTTCTCTCGTAAGTAAACGAAATTTTGGCTATGGAAGGATTAATTGTAGTCGTAACTCCAAATAAAAATCAAATAATAATAATAATAGTTCTAAACCAAATGATAATATTAGTTATAAATCATTCATCTAGTGTTCTTGTATTCATGAATTATGTCTGATGTCGCGGAGGATTTATCAATTACGTTTATTATTTTGTAGTTTGGAGTATGTTACGTGTGGTGGACGAGTGCCCGAATATTAAAAATTACACGCATACTCACGTATATAATACAGATACAAGAGAAACTACAGGGACCACTGACGTTTTACTTACATTTTCGCTCTTCTTCTTTCGTTTTCTGTTCGCGCGGTTATTTGCTGTTGCTCGGAGCTACCCTCTCTTTCTCTCTCTCTCTCTCTCTCTCTCTCTCTCTCTCTCGCATCGAGCGAGTAAACACACTCCTACGAGAATGAATACCAATACCCCCGACGTGGTCGTATTCTCGAAAACAAGCAACCGGGGCGAAAAGAAGAGAGAAGAGAGAGACGGGAGATGCAATAGAAACCAGGCTCTCAGCGTTGCAGACACGAGGAATATTGTGACATCTCTTTCTTGGCTGACATTCAATTTTCCAGGCTCTGGAACGACGGTGCCCCAACCGCACACACACCGTACGCCCCATAGAATGGAACACGATATACCCATCTACCTCCCCTTTCCCTTTTCACTGATGCCGATGCAACCCGGCCGCACCCCGGCTGCTTGCACTGTATACACAAACAAACAACAACGGTCGTCTGGCCGTGTCCACGAGACCGACACCCGCTAGAAGAGGGATGGTATCGTCGCGCGGAGGCGCTCCAACACTCGCGCCGGATACCACCCGGTAATCGTTCGATCCACGAGCCGTGTGTACCGAGCAAGCGATAAAATTACTGGCGACGAGTGCGCGCGAGAGAAAGCTTCGCACGATAATGTGTCACGCGAGTCTAGGCGATAATAATATTTTTATACAGGGGTTGCGCTAGAACGACGTGCCATTGCAAATTCTTTTGTCCCAACCCTTTTTGCAACACCTTCTCAGTTTCAACCACTTGCGCTGGCAATTGATTGCGGACCATAACGAGTGACCAAACTCGTATACGATAATTCGTCGGCTTTTGTTTTGAAACTCGTCGGTATGATATCACTAGTACTAAATTTATTATTTGTTTCGTCTATTTTGTTTTACTTTAAATATACTTTAAAACTGGCACGTCATTCCGGCGCAAGAGGTTAAATGTAACCCAGGCAAAACAAATGCTAGGGTTATTAGATATTCTTTTTAATAATTTCTATCCACCGATACCATACCGACGAGAGAGAAAAGAAAAAGAAAGCGACGAATTATTATACATTCGGCCACTCGTTATGGTTCGCGAACCAGTTGCCAGCGCAAGGCTGTTTCGATCAGCCTTTCGAGGGACGAGGTCAACAATGGGGAATCGAGAGGAGGAATTTTTCCATTCGTTCGCTGTTTCTCCGAGAAAGAGACTTTGGGGAAACTTCAGTATTCTTTTCATTAATTTCGCCCGCGAAGAGAGATGATACTCGCTGGCAATTCGAGGAGGATGGTATATCTGCAGACGAGCTGTTGGCCCCGCCGCGTTTTACCTCCAATTAGCATCTCTCTTAATGACGATCACCGCCGATCCATATACACGCACCAACATACGTCCCACTTTACGTTCGCGCTCGCTATCGTTCCGTGCGTGTGCATGCACGTACAGTACGTACATATACGCCGTGTCCACGGTACGTTTCGCGCGACCCATACGCTCTCGCAGGCAGTTATACAGTCTCGGTCGAACCAAAGGGAGAAAGCACGCGAAACAACGTTCCAGAAAGAGAGAGAGAGAGAGAGAAAGAGAGGGAACGCGAGCGAACCAGGAAGAAAGGGAGGGAACGAACGAACGAACGAAAGACCGGGTGAGAGCGAGCTCGGGGGTGAAAAGGACAGACGGGATCTATAAAAAAGTCCTTTCCCCTGCTCGTAGCCGAGTCCTTACCCCGCCGAGCGACGCTCGCCCCATCGAAAACGCGTAACGAATGCAACGTGCACCCTGCACTCTCGCGCTCCCTTTCTCTCCCCGCGGCGCTGCCGCTCGCTACTTCTCTTCGATCGCCCCTCCATTTTCATCCCTACCACGATCCACGGCGGGATCATTATTTTTATCGTCCGACCGGTTGGAAGCGTACGTGGCGTAAGCTCACCACGCCCCTGCTGCCTCCATCCCGCCAATCGGTCGGCTCGCGACCAGCCATTTTGGTCCATGCGGAGGCTGCGCGTTTGTTCCCTGTCTTTGTCTCTCGTGACCTTCGGCTGTGTAGGTGCCCCTTACGTGGATGCTGCGCGCGAGTGTGCCTCGTGAAGTTGGTGGGGGTGTGAAGCGAACAAGGGCGAACCGAGTCGAACCGGGCTCGGTCAGTATTTCCCGAAATTTTTCCCGAATTTGGGGACGACTGATCTCCCGGAGGCAGGTGATCTCCGTTTTCGATCTCGGTATCTCTCGCGCGTTCGACAACGTACCGTTCGATCTTCCCACCTCCCTCCGTTGTGGTTGAAAAATCACAGTCGCTCCGCCGCGTTTCGTCGCGTCGCGTCGCGTCGTTTCGAGGTCGTGTGCACCAGCAGGCTCGGACTCGAGGTAGATCCCAGCAACTTGGACGAGGGTGGGGAGCAAAGGAAAGTAGGAGGAGGTCGCCGAAGGTATCGCTCTTCTCCCTCTTTCGCTATCAAACGACAAAAATATCGAGCCTTCTTATTACCCGGCGCTTGATAAATCGAATTCGAGCGCGACTCGAGGGGGTTAACGAGGCGAGTTACAACGAATCGTCGGTTGTTCGCGAGTGAAGTGAGACTGGATACTGGCGAATTTCGTTCGATCAAGATCGGAAGGGCAGCAGATCGAAAACTTTGGCAACCAAACCCGTCGCCTCCCTCCATCCCTCGGAGCAATATGTCGCTATTAAAATTCCCTGCCTGAGTGTACCGTCCGAACTGAATCGTGGATCGAAGGTTAGAGAGGAGAGGAGCGGAGACGACGAGCGAACAGGAGGACGGACCACGATTCTGTACACACCTATTAATTCTTTCCTCCCTGACCCCCACCCCGAGCCCATCGCGAGAGCGTGATATCGCGTCGGTGTCCACGCGAGAAGGACAGCGATCGTCCGATCGGGCGTACGCGGTGCGTCCATCGAGGCAGAGGTTGGTCGCGGAGCCTGGTGGGGAATGCGATGTGAGAGAAAGAGAGAAAGAGAGAGAGGACGGTAGAGGAGAGAACGAACGCGCGAGTGTGTCGGGCGATATTCACTCCCTTCCTTCTCGCTCCGTTCGTGTGTCGTCGTGTGTGTTCCTATCGGGTAGCTCGATCGGGGCGAGGGTAGGGGACAAGGGCCGCGAAGAGTCCGAGGAAGAATAAGCGAGAAGTTTTCGGGGCGCGCTCTCTCCGTTCGCCTGCGAAATTCAACGGGCGAAATATCACGTTGCTGGGGAACGTCCCAGCAGCGAAAACACGGATCGCGACTTCGGGAGCAAGTTCGAGTACGTAGTTGGTACGTTGGTACGTGTTGTTGCTGTGGTGGAGAGGCTGGTTCGAGAGACAGAGAGCAAGACGGAGATAAAGAGAGAGAAGACGAGGGTGGGGACGGTAGGAGGACGAGTCGAGGAGGACGAAGGCAGCGCTATCGAGTGGCGGTACCAGGAAGCAACGGCGTCGTCGAGAGACTATCCGAGATATCGTCGCCCTTGCGCCCGAGATACACGGGCCCGTCGTGAACCCCCCTCGAGTGAGTTTCACGAAAACGATCTCTCGCGTCTTCTCCGGGTGCCTGAATCTGGATCTGCCCACGGTTCGGTTTACTGAATCCCAGCTCGTGATCTTCTGTCGGCCTTCGATCTTGAAGAGAGTCGACGACTAAACGACGACCTCAAGTCGACGAGGCAAACGCCGGGAGTTTCAGCTCGTTCGTGGCACGAGCACTGCGCTGCCGATTGAGACCGCGTCGTGCGCTCTCCTGCGATCGAGGAGATCGTTCTCCAGTCGATCTCACGTGTGTGACACGAGCTGAGAATCAGGGAGAGCGAAGAAATTCGGAGCCATCCGGGGGTTGGTGGCAAAATTCGCGAGTGACCTACGCCGAGAAGGAGAGAACTAGCGCCCCGAGGAAGCGTTGCCGGAAGCTGCGCTGCTGATTAGACTGCGGCAACGACCGTCAAAGGATATCTAACAAGGAGGGAAAGAACGGCGCGTCGAGGGTTCACCGGCAATTGGAAAGGTAAGGCAACGATTCACGATTGTTCGTTGAATGTGAATTTCAAAGGAGGTGGTGCTACTGTTTCTCGATAGAGATGGATCATTTTCTATTTCGTATCTTTTTTTTTTTTGTATTCAATATTATATTACATTCACGCGGATGTAGTATCAGTGATTGTATATTATATTTGCCTTTCTCCCCTGGAAAAGATATTACGCAAATGTTTCGAAACTTTGGCTAGTAGGAAGACCTTTTGAATGATTTCAGATATTTATTGAGGAATATTGCTATGTGGAACGTTTATGTTATTGAGGTGCTTGTGTATACGCTTTCTCGCGACACCGAGGACAGGCCGTGTTTAATAACAGTCAAATTGTTGGACATTTCTAGGAAAACTGATCGGCTAATGTGTTCCTTTCGATTACGTTTCGGGGATGTAAATATTGTTATGGCCGTGAACTCGTAGCAAGCAGCTGCATTCTGAGAAATCCGTAGAAAACATTCGACTGTACGATTGCTAAATATGGAATATGTGTAATGTTTATCGCACGAAATTGGACTTTAACTTTTGCCAGAGAATCGCGACACGCCCTGCACTTAGACCCACATCTCCGAAATAAAATTTCTCTCTCCCGAGTTTAGCAGATATTTCCGAAAGTTATCAACCTTCTTTGCGTACATACACTGCCGCTTGAAACTTTGGAAAATAAAATAATAATCCTCGGAACAAATTAATTAGTTATTGTTGAATAAGCGGACTGGTACCAAACGAACGTTTCTTCGAAGTTTATATTTAGCAAT